AATCGGCTTAACTATAATTTTTCGAAGATGATCTAGCTCAATCTATGTGTAAATTACAAATCATCAGGTGTTTCAGTCAGAATATGGTCATAAGATAAATAAAGTAGTTGATTATTTTTTATAAATTCTAACTGGAATCTTATTGTATCTAACAGCTCATGGTTAGTGAGTTTTATTAGACTCGCACACGTGAGTTACATGATAAAAATAATCACATCTTCATCCAATAAAGAAAATACAATCTAACATAGTTTTACTTAATGTTCCAGTACACTGTGCAAGAATGTCGGCACTACTCAGCACGGAAAGGTTTCTTCTCGTCCATCATCGAGAACATCAAGGACGAGATGGCCAAGAACAAGGAAATGAAGGACAATATCAAGAAGTTCAGGGAAGAGGCACAGAAATTGGAGAACTCGGAAGCATTATTGGTTTGTTACAGAAGACTTTATATTAATATATTTACGTAAATGGGAGAAGGAAAAAATATTACAACAAATTGATGGAAAAATTTGAATGCAGTTGAGATAGAGTTCAAAATACAATTTTAAACAAAGTCTTCCTGAAGTTGAGCCTACTTGAGGAGTGTAATATCGAGCATAATCTGTGAGATGTGGTTACAAACATCAGCTTTAAAAAGCATCTAAAATATACAAACAAACAGAAACCAAATTATTTAGTATTTGAACATTGAACTTTGCTCTTTAGTGTTCATGTTTATAATGTTATTATTCATCATCATCATTGCATACACAAATATTTACTTATTATTTCTTTGAAAAAATAAATAAGAAGTGATCTATTTTATAACAGCTAAAAATTATATAGCTCTCAAAATACTGATCTCAAATCTAAATATTTCCTCAGCCAACCCCTACTAGTCATATTTTGATGTCCTCACCTCTCATGGCATGTCATATGCTCTATTCTAGGCTGCCAGAAGGAAGTTTCATGCAGTTGAGTCCGAAGCTTCCAAGAGTTCAGAAGTCCTGAAGGAAACATTAGAGGGAATTAAGGGAAAGATGGAACATGTCATTGAAGAAGCTAGTAAAACTGACATTGCGAAGAAAGCTGGTAAGAATGTTTATTTAATTATTGTATTATAATTCATTTCTGTAATTATCATCTTATGTCAGCCACAAGATGTTCACAGCCAGACATAGGCTCTCCCAATAAACATTGAGCACACAAACAGCAACATAAATAAATTATAATGCTGCTGCATCAGAATGTTTGTATAAGACAGTGATAGCAAAAATTTTATTCCTCAGATAACATATATGCATCTGTCTATTGAAAAATCAGCCCTTAAAGGAAAATTGTTAGCTTATTTCACACACACATCATCAGCCTGTAAGTGCTCAGTGCTGGGCAAATGCCTCTTTTCATAATGCTCAAGGCAGATTGGCTGATGATTTCAAACTTATGAATAAAAATTATAAAGTCCCATGTTTCCTCCCAATGTTTTTCTACGTCATTGTTTCTAAATGATTATTGAAAGTACATATAACTTGGAAAAAGTCACATTGAAACTTAGGTTTCAAACCTGCACCCTCATGCATGAGGATTGGGGGTGACCTCTAGGGCACCACAAAACTTAGTTTAAGCTTATTTGGTAAACACTTTATTCTGGGTATCATCAAAAACTGTTCAGCTGTTACACTACTATTACTACGCTTGAATAAATCTTACATAAATGAAATGCTTCTTTTTACAGGACAAATAAAGGATGATCTATCAAAGACGGCTAAGGGCGCAGCTGAGAGCATAGCTGACACAGGCTCTAAACTGGGTCAGACAAGTGCTTTTAGAACTATCTCACAAGTAAGCACTAAGCATATATATTACTGGTATTACATAATGTCACCATGTGCTTCATGTTTAAGATATCTGCCTTATCTTATCAACATATTGTACATTTAGAATTGTATTAATGGAGTATCTATTTAAACAATTTTTTATGTTGTCATGAGAAACATATGTTTTTTGACTATGGTATCAAGTCTGACTAAACTATGTGACAAAAGCTAAAAATGATAAATATTTATTGTTCCAGCTTCATATTCTTTTATATTCGCCTTATTCTGTTCATTGCCTCTATTGTGGGTGGCTGCATAATTTCGCATACACATCCAGATCAAAATAACAATTTGTGGGTCACACCAAGAGTGGTTCTGTGAGGGAATCGAACTCACACCGCGTTGCGCGGTTGCCAGTAGCCACCGAGTCAACCGAGCAATAAACAATAACTCTGTCAAAACAATGTTTCCAGGCGACAGCAGTAGTGAAGGATGAGATCTCGCCTCGAGGACTGGAGGGCCGCGTGTACATGGCGCCCTCTGCTCTACGGAAACGTGTTGAGGTCAATATAATTAGTTTGTAATTACTAGCCATAGCAGGTAAGAAGCATGTTGTGCTTCACTAAAACTGCTGTCTCAGTATTAATGGTGTTTATAATGCATAAAATAAAAACTATATAGTTTGTTTATTGATATTTATAGCACAACTACGCTTTTTTTTATTTGAATAGGTAATTGATTCATTCTTCTTACTTGACTAAATGTATAACTAGACACGAGTAATTGAAGAGTAATTGTATGCAACAGGTTGCTTCTGACGAGCGCACGTTCGCTCCAGACACTGAAACTGTAGGCGTGGAGTTGCACAAAGACTCCAAGTTCTATCAGCAGTGGGAGAACTTCAAGAACAACAACCAATATTTCAACAAGGTACACCGTCGCACATTCATTCCTCACCCGTTATTAAATAGTTCTACTTATTTTAAGTTGTAATTATTTATTGCTACAGGTACTAGATTGGAAGATAAAATACGAAGAGTCCGACAATCCCGTAGTTAAAGCTTCACGATTTGTCACTGAGAAGGTAGGCAGCTTGTTTGGAAATATATTCGAGAAAACCGAACTCTCCAAGACCCTCACCGAAATATGCAAGATCGACCCTAACTTCACGGCTCAGAAGTTCTTAGAGGACTGCGCGAACGATATCATACCGAATATACTCGAAGCCATGGTACGAGGAGATTTGGAAATTCTCAAAGATTGGTGCTACGAGGGAGTGTTCAACATCCTGGCCACACCCATCAAGCAGTGCAAACAGCTCGGGTACTACTTAGACTCTAAGATCCTGGATATCGAACAGATTGAACTCGTCATGGGCAAAATGATGGACCAGGGTCCAGTTCTAGTCATAACATTCCAGTCACAGCAGATCATGTGCGTCAGAGACAGTAAGAACAAAGTGATAGAGGGCGACCCCGACAAGGTGATGAGGGTCAACTATGTGTGGGTGCTGTGCCGGGACCCCTCCGAGCTCAACCCCAAGGCGGCGTGGCGACTACTCGAGTTGTCCGCCAGTAGCGTAGAACAATTAATATAGGAGAATTAATGTAGATTTGAATTAAATCGTTGACTTTTATGTATGGTTTTTGTAAACCTGTCCATGATATCCTGCGAGGCGCAACATTAGACGAAACATTCGACCGGACGCGTTCCGCGGAAATAGTGTAGCTATTGTTGTGTGCACTGCGGCACTAGACTGTTTTGTAAACTAGAGCGAGTTAACTTGTTAGTTATGACTTGAAGCATATAAGAAGTCTGTTAAATAGTATATACAATCGCTTATGTAAACAGTCGTGTCTACATTATTACCCAGACAGTTCTGTAGCAGATGTAAATAAAGTACCATGTTTAAGTTATCCCAGAAGTTACAAATAGTTTCGTTTGCAATCTGATTAGACCTGTATTCAGTCGGCAATTTACTTTTAAGATTTTTATACTTCGAAACCTTTTCGTGCACATGAGATCTTGACATGGTCAATTAATTTCCTGATTTTTTATCTACGTGATATTGGTGAAATATGTTGTTATCCAATGAAATATAGTAAACCCGGACGTCATTCAATGAATTATAAAAACGAATGATGCAGGTACGCAAGACGCGCGTGCGTCGCGGGGAACATTGTAAGGAAAGGTTTTGGAGTGACATTATGTTTTGAATATTAATTTATGTTTATTTTGTATCATTATTAGTTCGTTACAGACGATTTATTATTTATTTTAATAAATTGTTTTTATTTTTATGTTTTTTGTTTTAAGTATTTCTTATAGTATATCTAGTGGCATTCAGCAGAATGTGTTCATAATAATATTTTTATGTTAAAATGCTACTTTTATTCCTACTACCTGATAAGCCCCAATGACGTGTTCGCTGCCTCAGCGTATAACATTAGATACAACAGTGTTCACATGTTCCAGTTTTCAACAACTACCAGTTTAACTAATCTAATTGAATATGACAGTCAAGAACGTTTTCTCACAAATACCTTCGATGCCACTCGTGGAAAACAATATATTTCACCAAAATAACTCTTGTTTGGCTTGGCAAACAGTAAGCAGGCGTTAAAAGACTGCGGAGCTAGTCTCCGATTATATTGCTAAATCGATAATGTCCCTATATTCCAACAGTTCAACAATTTCAGTGAAGAGAAGGTACCGATGACGTTAGTTACGAACAGGGTGTAGGAAAAATCGGGGCAGTAAAAGTATTTACGTATTGAAATGAAAAAAACTGCACCGTTAGTTCTAATATATCTTCACAATATACATTTACTCACACATATTCTACGGTAAAAAAGGAAAATAGCACACATGATTTCTCTGAAGTTAATTATACGTTGTTTCGCCGTGTGAGTAAGGTTACCGGAGGCCCAATTCTTCCCTTCCCCAATCCCCAAAAGGTCGGCAATGAACTCGTAACTCCTCTGTTGTTGCGGGTGTCCATAGGTGGCGCCGATTGCTTACTATCAAGTAATCTGTAGGGCCGTTTGCCCACCTATCACATAAAAAAAAACTTTTGAAATGTCGCCTATCCGCTTTTAGCCAACGTGGTGATCAATGCGCAAACCTTCACCGTGTTAGAAGAAGCTTTTGCTCATCAGTGAGCACTTATAGTCTGATGATGATAAGGTTAACAGGTTTGTAGGGTCTTCAAAATAAAACAGCAGCAGTTTGAAATATTCAATTATATTGGAGGCACAATGAACAGACGGCGGTGCCGTCGTACAATATATTTACAAATACAATAACTATAGTGCTACGTTACGTGAGAAATTACACCGATGCGGATGTCGCAGTGACTAGGCTACTAAACCTTAACGATCCTACTGAAACAAAACTATATTGTTAGGCCTTGCTCGTGGAATGTACTCGAACTTAATGTTACATTGTTCAGTTTACTTTTTTCCTTCATAGTTTATTAATAACTGATTTAGCCCTTCTCTGCTCTATGATTTAGGTACGTCACACCCGCTGAACAACGTCGGATGGTTAAGCTTACTGTCTCAGTGGACTACATAATAAGTGTTTTCTTTGTACTGTAAGCTGCATCAACATAACACATGTTGCTATTATTTAAAAACAATTACAATTAACTTCGTGTCATTCATACAATAAAATAAAATTACTAACTTAAAATGGCTGCCGACCACATCTAGATCAGACAGTTGAATTAAAATTAATGTTCACAAAACGCAGATCTTATAATAAAATAAAAAGAAAATAATCTAATTTGTATTAAAATTTCTTATTATCACTTATAATGTAAAATATTGTGTACATACATAATTATATTATGCCTAAATTATTAAAATTACGCGCCAAAAAGCTCAATCACATAAAACCTACTTAGTGTTCCAGTGTGTGTATTTCGTTAAAACGTTAGTGTTGCCATACACGCTTTACACTTAGTGTTAAAAATCGACGGATTCCCTTAATATTTATATTTATCAGTAAACATTTGTATTGTTGTTGTATTAGATTGATTATTAAATTAAAATTGTATTATCATCAAAAACAAATGTTTACAAATAAATCGTCCTTCTATTTAGCTCGTTACGATCACAACCGTGCACCTACCTATGCAACGCTAGTTAAGTGTACATACAATAATTTAAATATACATATAAGAATACAGCACGATTTGCATATAAACTGAAATAACATTCATCAAATAGGCTTTGTAATAAGCTTCGCAAATCACAAGTATCCAAACAGCGCACATTTAGTGACTCAGCAATAATACTCTCTACTCAGGAATACACAATTAGAGATTGGCTTGGTTACAATTTGACTTCATTAAACAAACCAATCTTTAATTGAGTGCTAATTAAAATAAGCATTATGAATGATTTTGTCGTTAAACGTGTATAATATGACTATAATGTCAAAAAGTGATTGGATACCTTGATTTTTAGTTACGTAATCACAAATATTGGTCTTGGATTTATTTCTTGATTTTGTGCCGGGATTTATACAAAGGGACGAAGATAAAATGATGCGCGTAAAATTGTGACTTTTTTTATCTCGATATTTTGGCGGATCGACATTTTTTAATGTTTCTTTCTTCATTTTACTCTACTATCTCTTAGTATAAATCTCCGCATACTTTAGTGCTGTCCCATATCTCATTAGTCGACGACCCATTGCAATACGCTGGTATCGAGGCCCCCGGTAGTGATTAGACGCGAGTCGTCAGGCAGGAATCGAACGCAAGTCACGTGAGACGAGTGTCCGCCATACTGGTGGCAGAGCGACTGTAACATAATAAGATAATTTATTAGTAAATAGGATTCTGTATAATGGAGATGGAGATGCCACCTTATGACATATTGCCTATAAATGCAGGAACAATAATGCGTTGGATAACTAGGGAAAGGAATTCGAGACTGCTTGATCAGTAGTTTTACTCATAGTCATTAACTCCAAAGGTAAGTATTGTGCCGTTATTGTAATGATTCAGGAAAAGTTGATTTTATTCGTAACTTTTATATTTTACATAATGAATTTAATTAATATGCATTTTATGAAAAGCGATAAGGTTAAAATGCTTTATTTATGATAATTTTGACTACCTATGTGCCTGTGTTACTAACCTTTGGCTGGGTGACAGGGTAAGCGTAGAGCTTCACTTTACCGAAATCGTCGCCAGTAGCCACCAGGCGACTGTCGTGGGACCTGGAATATTAATTATTAAAATAAAGTTATTTAATTGTACGTTTGTAAACGCACCCTCGATACAACAGAAAATCCTAGAGTAGGGCAATGTTAAAAAAATTGGTAAATTAGTTTACTTGTCCCGACGATAAATAGAGATATAGACAAGTTTAAAAAGTTTTGTATCTAATATTGTTTTAAACGATTGACCAAATAGATTTTTAAAACTTGTCAGTATCGCAACGTCACCGTTCAGCATTTAATATACTAAATCGTGACGTCATATGATATTACAAAATCAATATATCGCCGAAAGAACTGATTCAGCTCAGAAGATGAGAAAAAATACGCGTCTGTACACTCTTTATTCCTTTATTCTGTAAACACTAAAGACACAGACAAGACAGGATTGTAAAATAAACATTTATTTTATATATGTTTGTGTGGTTTACCTGGTGCATGTGTTAATATCAGTGCCGTCTGCGTTCTCAGGCCAGACTCCGATGGTCTGGAACGTGATGGGGCAAGTGTTGGTGGCCCACGTGACGTCGCGCATCGACGTCGGCTGCGGGATCTGGCGACATGTCGTCGCGTTCCCTTCGGAAAATTGGATAATTTTATTCTCTGGATAATTATTGGCTGTAACTCCTATCTAGCTGAATTCGTAAGAGCTGTTTCACGACCTTTGGATAGTTTATATTTGTTTGAACTATTTATACATATAGCACATCAGTTTATAGAGAACTTACTTAAATGAAGGTAGTAAAACCAGCGTTTTGTATTGTAATTTTATGTATTGTTTAAGTACTTTTAGGACTAATATAAGTAAGATAAAATTCTCAATTCTGTATGATGGTCAGGTGATAAACTGAAAAACTGCTGAACCGATTACTGTAAAAGATGTCATATATGAAATTTATTCAAAACGGCTTTACTGATTTTATCAAATTTTATATACATACTAGCGAACCCTCCCCTAAAACCACCATATATCAAATTTCAGCGAAATCGTTTGGGCCGTTTCCGAGATCACATGCCTTTTCGAGCGAGAGGTTAGCACTATTACAGAACAGAAAGTCCTTATTTTAGTTATTTCAGTAAACTACTTTAAAATACAGATTCTAAATAAACTATGTTCTATATAATTATACATATAGCTAATTATACTTACAGTAAAGCAATTCATAGTCCCCGGAGTTGCTCCTAATGTACTGGCTATCTGCAGACCAGTCCAAGTGTGTTATGTAGCTAGAGTGGCCCTGTGGACATTGTATGGGAAACAGTCTTAGATATTGTTGTTAATTATGAAGCTGGCAACACGTGTATGGCCACTACCTTGCACTACTTATGTACATTCGCTTCGGGAAATTGATTGGGTAACTAGTAATAAATAGTTCTCAAAAATCCAAATATAATATCTGTGTATACCAAAATTAGATAAAAATAGCAGTTCAACACGGATTACTGTTAGAAGAAATATTGCTATGAAGACAAATAGCATGTTTATCTTGTTCAAAAACTCGCTGTAATGTCGCAAGACTGTCGTGCGACAAAACGGTGCGACACAGTCATACGACTAAAATTAATAAGTATGTAGATAGTTAAGTAGTCAAAGAATTATTTTTGGATTTATTTACTTATGGTAAGGTAAGGTTCACCAGTATTTATAAAAATCGAAATTAGCGGGGTTTTGGGATAAGGGTAAGCTCATTAACAGTAGGTATGAAGCGACGTTCACAGTTATCTAGCATTCAAGTCATCTGCAAAAGGGATATAGGTACATGTCAAGGTTGAAATTCCTGTAAGCGATCTAGGGCGTATAATTAAACATGCAATATGAATGTGATGTTACCCTTCTACGTTTTTTCTCCGTGCACTAAAGTCGCGTGAAATTGTACAAGTTACAATATAAGTTATTAATATTTATTCATACAGTTTATCGACCTTTATTCTAATAACTAAATTAGTTTATTACGTACTACAATCAAAATCAAATTTTAATATGTATCTATACTTAAATGAAATTCGATTTCTACCATTATCAACATATACATATGTTACCTTCTAATCTTTTAAATGGTTTTCAAAATTGATAGAATAGGTAGCAAATACAATGTCTTGGAATGTAATGAATGATATGAAAAAGTATATCTGTCCAATGTTAAATTGTTTTTAGACAAGGCTGATTTACTATTAAATTACTAAGTCGAAAAAATACTCCACAATATACTACTGTGTTACAATGAATTTAATTCTACAGGACATAATGATACTTAATTTTTAAGTCATACATGTTTCAAGTACTTTAATATTGGCTATGAATACAATAACAACTGAAATAAACTACCTAATCTGAATTCAAAGTAGAATCAAACTATATTTTGTGAAAACCAGCAACAACTAATATCAAAAATCGACCTTAATACAAAGACAATTAGATTGAACTTAACCTTATGTAGAACATGTAGTTATAGCATATGTATAATCTAACAAATGTATGTACTTACGAGACACTTCCCGAGTCGGCTGTACCGAGCGCCATTGTCCTCGACGCGGTAGACATAGATGAAGTTGTCCCGAGAGCCGAGAGCTACCATCGAGTTGTCCGGGGAGTACTGAATCGTTTGGATCGGCTCATTCCTATAAAAGTTACAGAGAATAAAATTTATACACTTGATTTTAGATATCTTCAAAGTTTGAAAGATAAACAATTTTTTTTGGTGTTAGTTCTGTGGATTCTTGACATGTTTCATTGAGCACGTATCTTATATGATTAGAGTTTACATGTGTACATTATTAACGGATAAGTACCTACTGCTGAGCAAAGGCTTTTTTCACACGTAGAAGGTTTGAGCATTAATCACCAAGCTTGATAAAGGCGGACTGACGGTTTAAATTTTATAATTAGAAATTATAAGACTAGATTTCTTAACGATGTTTTCCTTCATCGTTTGTAAGTGGTTTTTGAATAATCATAGAAGGTACACATAACTCGGAAAAGGAGGGTTTGGGTTCGAAACCTGGCAAGTTTTCGAACGGAGTACGAAGTGGTGGTCCAGAGGTTAGCGCGCCTGCTTCTCGTGCATGAGGATGCGGGTTCGAAAGTTGGCAAGTACCAATGTGACTTTTTCCGAGTTATATGTACTTTCTATGATTATTTAGACACCACTGACATACGGTGAAGGTAAACATCGTGAGGAAACCTGGACTTATAATTAGCCTTTGCTCAGCAGTGGACACTTATAGGCTGATGATGATGATGGTGATGATGATGAGTCTATAAATATGCACTCGTGGAGTGTAAAAAGCCTCAGTACCCGTCAGTATGCTCTGCGAGGAGGTCCCGCGAGTGAGGGTCGTAGACCCTCCACTTGCCAGTGAGGCAGCCCACCGCCAGCACTCCGCCGTCACTCGACCACGCCACGCATTGCGCACGCTCCTGTTTTGCAACAAATACGTACACGTTACTATTTTTGTAATATAATAATTTAACAATAACGTTGAACTTGAAAAAAGTGTGGGAGAGCCATGCTTCAGCACCAATGGGTCGGCCCGACCGAAGTGATACCACGGCCTCACAGAAAACTGATGTGAAACAACCACAGCGTTGTTTCTGGCCGCTTGGGTGAGGTTGCCGGAGGCCCAATTCTTTCCCTACCCCCAATGCCTCCCTAATATCTAAATCTCCAAATTCTTAATCACCTAAAAGCCGGCAATGCACTTGTAACTCCTGTGTCTGTGCGGGTTACGGCACTGTTTGCTAACTATCAGGTAATACGATAGCGCGTTTGCCGTCCTATCCCATAAAAAAATTTAAACATGTTGTAACTGGAATACGATTTTAGATAAAAACAGGCAATGCCTTCCACGTAAGAAGGAAGATGCTTGGCCACTAACTTGAGGATCGCAGAAAATGTTGAGGATGCCATTCCTGAGTGTTCACACTTGGATCCATGGTAAATGTCTTAAATGGTGTAAATAGCACAGACTATAATATATTACAGACCTCGATGTCCTTGCTCCAGACGGTGCAGTGCGAGAGTCCGTCCCACAGCTGCAACAGCCGGTCCCAGCCAGCCGTCGCGAACTGCGCCAGCGACGGGTGCGTCGCCAGGCCCCATAGCTCGTCCACGTGACCTGGTACATTCATTCATATCATCTCCACACAAAATAGTCTGAGTGACAGCCTGAATTCCTTAAGGCATTCTCTAAGTCAATGCAGAGAAACAGATTGTCATAGCTAACATTACATCATCCGTGAAAAAACACCGTGCATTAAGTACCTAATACTTATTGAAATATATGCGACACACATCATTTTACAAGACACAGACAAAACAGCATCTAGTATGCTGTTTTGTCCTTTTTCCCTATTGTGATTGGTTCTACTACAGACATCTTAATTTAGTGTTATTAGTAGTGATTCTGGAAATAATAATACTATTAGTAGAAAATAGATTAGCTGTGCCAGAAACAATTTAAGAATATCATTGTAAAAGTCTGTTATCACACTAGTTACAGCTTGACATGAGCAAAAAAAAAAAACAATAATGTGCCTAACAGAAACCATCGTTTAAAATTCAGCAATGGATCGAACTTTACGAGAAAGCCTTAGATAAAACAAAACAAAAAAAGGCTTTAAGATAAAACAAACAGTATGAAGAACTCACCAAGCACAGCAGGCGAGAATCCAAGTTGCATATCTCCATGTAGAATACAGTTCCTTGTGGTTCCAACGTAGAGCTGGTCACCTCTTCCCTCAGCGACAACACGGACGCCTCCATAATGGCCTTCTATGGCGGCCTCCTGTCCCGTAGGACTCAGGTCAGGTCCAAACAATACAAGACGGCCGTCCTTGCCTCCAGCAGAAAGAACCCCGCCTTCCTTGAGGGCGCACAGTGAGAATACGGCGCCCGAATGGACCCCACGAACCAGTTTGGCTACGGTGTTAGTGCCCCGAGCCCAAACTGCTATGTTGCCGCTTGAGTCACCGGATAGGACATCGCCTGTAAATGTGTTTGTGTTAGAAGTTTGTTATAGAAATTGCTTTGCGATGACTTCCAAGATTATATGAAGATCTGAAGTTTTTGGTGAGTACTATATATCGTAAAAGTCTCACTAATCGTCATTGTGCATGAGATTGAACACAAACTGTAAAAAATCTGTGTTACAAATAATATTTACATTGTATATACGTATACTCACCATTGTGGTTGAACCCGAGGCAGGTAACGTATTTAGGCTTGTCCCGTGTCTCAAATACTCCCATCCTCTTGTACAGCATGTTGGTCTGGTCCAATGTCCAGAATGCGATGTGGTTCTTACCACACGTTACTATCTGGTTGCGGTCTAGTGGGTGGAACTCACACGCCACCACCGTGTCTACTGAGCACTGAAATATTTAAAACATTTAAATAATACCTTGGATGCATGTAGACAAATCTATAACTTTTCAAGTTATTTAAGTTATTTATGCAGGTGCATGGTCTATTGTTGGCCGCTTCATCGCTTATTGCATTGTGAGATATTCTTTACTGCTTGTTACAACCAATAAAAACATCATTTTCGAGAATCTGCGTCAAGTTTCGAGCAACATTGGGGTTCATAATATTTATTTCATAGGTCGGTAAACCAGCAGACGGATTACCTGGTGGTAGGCAACCAACGCCGCCTTCAGACACTCGAAATATCAAAGGAGTTACTACAAGTTCGTTGCCGGCCTCTTGTGGGTTACTAAAAATTTTAGGATAGGGAATTTGGAATTTGACGATGGGCGATTGGGCCTCCGGTATCCTCGCTCACACGGTGAAACAAGAAAGAGCATCGCCTACCTTGGTCTCAGCAAGACAGTGTCCTTTATCAGCTCTTTGCCAGTCCCAGACGGAGATGGTGTGATCAGGTCCATCGTCGACGGCAGCCAGTAGGGCGCCGCCATCAGCTCGGGAGAAGGACAGGCATTGTACTGCGCGCTCGATGTGACCTGCGCCCAGCACCGCCAGCGTCGCCAGGGACACTGAGTTCCATACGCGGATGTGTGGCTGTTGGTGGAATTGTTACATGTTTATAGTTATACTAGTATTAATTTGTTACTTGTAAAGTGTCTCCACTGCCAAAGAAGGCCTTGAAGAAGGAATTGCTATTATTTTCGAACTTGGCTTGCGAGCGCTTGGACTTCTGAATCGTTGTAAATTTAATCGCGCGGTTAGCGATCAAAGAGTTGCTACCCGTGGTTCTGATTGCTGTTCGCTATAGAAGAACGTACCGCGGGCCACATATAGTTTTTGGAAGATTTATTCTCAATGGTAGCTGCAAACACTTCCCCAAAAACACAGGTAGCATTAATTTTAAGAACCAAAAGTGACATGAAAATCGACCCTGCAGTACTTTAGCTAAAAGGTTCACTTACCCTAGCATCAAGCCGGTCATGGCCGGCACACTGGCCACTGGCCACGATCAGCTTGTTGGGGTGTATGGCTAGGCACTTGACGTCGTCTGTGTGGCCGGTGTAGTGGCGCTGGCACTGCTCCTCCACGTTGAACAGCACCACCACGGCCGCCACGAAGTACACTATCTCGCCTGTAGGTAGCAGGTACAGGTTGCTGCGACAATCCTTGCCCCTGGAACCGAAGATAACATATTAAATGTCTCATACATCTCAATAAAAGTTAGTGAAAATCTTAAAATAGTTCCAGAAACTTTTAGAAGAAATATCAATAGTGGAAAGGTTTTATCATAGAGTAAAGTCTTGATGATGATCACACCATAATTTAGAGTTGATGTAAGTTTCCTAAGCCAACTAATATTATGCTTGATGCTTGGATGTCGACAATAAATCCCTATAACTAATTAATAACAACAACCATTCATTGTAATACCAAATTTTTTACACCTAATCAGTCAGCAGTTCTTTGAGTATTTCCGAGTTTTTTACCCGTGGAAACATAGTAGCATTGCATCTGAGTCATAGGAAAGTGCAGTTCAGTATTCCCAGGTTTTTTAATACAAGGTCGCGGTCTCAGTTGAGTGGTCAAGTGTAACGGCAGATGAGTCACCACTCACCTACCTCACCTAGCTATCGATTTGTATGACAAGACAATGGTCAATGCTGAAAGTGAGCGTATTAAACTAACGATAGATTATCTACAGTTGTTGAAGGACTATCGATCGGTATTTGAAGAAAATAACATGATTGATAAGTCAGGGACATCTGTGAAATGCTGTGAGAAGGGAAATCGTTTTACATATATCCTTGATGGACTTGACATTTTGGACAACGTCCAAGTGGAACAAACTGTTGTTCTAATACTGCTGTACCTAAGGCTTTTTGTTTTTCTAATTCGTATTAACCTAAATGGTAGCGCGGAATTTGAAGAGAACTGTCTACTGTTATTTCTTTTGTCATGAGGAATTAATGGGGATTTCGAAATACCAACGTTTTCAAGTCTACGTGTCAACATTTGTAAATATCGGATATGCAAATCGAGTTGGAGTTATCACCAGACAAATTCCCATGAATCGCGACTAACATGACTATGGGCAATTTTATTGTCTTAAAACATTCAAAATACACAAACAATGATTAGTGTAGCAGCATTACCTAGTTAGTAAAAAACTGTAATGACTCAGATACTGTGATAATTACAATAAACATCAACGTTCCAGTACAATTGTTGTTTTTGTTTTAAACCGAGTCGATTGTTAGTGGCCAGTGGCCTTGAAAGAAACTAGTCTTTGAGTACTCTCGCGGAACTGGACGTGTTTGAAGTAAACACGTAGATATCCAAGATGTAAGTGCACTAGACAATAGATGCTAGGGCTAACTTGAAGATGCGTTGGTACTCTCTGTTTGGCGTGGAACACAAATCTTATTGTGCTCAACTTGAACACGCATGCCAGAACTACCAGCGAAAATGTTTTGGTTTGTTGGTGCAGTTGCTAGCCAAGTGGCTGATGTTCTACGTGTAGCGGGTTCGATTCCCGCACGGAACAACACCTTATGTGATCCATAAATTTTTGTTTCGGGTTTGGGTGGCTTATTTATGTGAATTTGTATGATTGTACACACCCACGACACAGGAGAGGGTCGATTATTTTATAAACAAAAAATAACCCGTTAAGCTTTAACTTTAACTGAAATTTTAATTAATCTGCGCTATCAGAATGTCTTTGTTTAGTCTGCGCATGAACACAAATACTGCGTGCACAAACCACATTATTCCTTCGGGTACAAGAGCCATACAAGTATTCCGACGTCTTGTTTTTGCGTCATGAATGTGTAGTTTGTGGCTAGCAGTGGTCAAGCCTTGAGCCACAACTGGAGTAGGTCTAGTATTCCGTGTGTTGATAGTATGTCCTACATTAAGTTGCGTGTTTTATATAAAAACATACTAATTCAATGTTCTACTTAAATAATTTGCTTTTATGAGTTCAACAGTCGGTAAATTCGAAGTGTTTTTATTAAATACAATCAAAATTGAGTGCTAAAGTCTATGAAATAATTAGGCCGAATCAATTTCAAGGCTTTTTCGGCACTCGAATACCCAATGTAGCCAATTGAGAAAACCCCATTTTAGTCATCATCCAATAGTGTAAAAAATTTGGTACGATTTGTACTTCAAAGACTTCAATGGTACCTAATGAAGGTATACATATATGTATATCTACTTTATTGGCATGCAATCAACCTTATCAAATTTACTATGATAATTAAGTACAAAAGATTTTGTCTATTTGTAAGAAATTGAAATTTCCGGCGGTGACACAGAAGCTATTACCCAATTGGTTGAAAAGCTTGGGTGGCCAAGCGTTAGCTGCCTTGGGTTAATGGTGGAGATTGCAATATTTTAAAGACAAAAGCGCAATTTTGTTACACACTTAGTAGACAGTACCTAATTGTGAGTATGATGGCGTGGTTTGTGAAACGGGGACTGGGATGTTGTTTAGTTTCGCTAGAGACCTTTCGAAAATACTTTCCGAGTAGGTATTTCGTACCCCAGTTTTTCGACAGGTCAAACAAAATATTTATCAGATGGTTTTAGAAAGTTTGAGCGTTATCTACAAGTACATGTATGCTTTCAAATATATGAGCGACATTCTGCGGGCTTAAATGTTGATAAAAATATTCAGTGAATTACTTGTTACCTATCACAAAAACAGACCTCTTTGGACTACCAAATTAGCTCATAACAGTTCTCCAATTAGAAGTAATTGAATAAACACTCCGTAGGTACGACATCACATGATTACTGTCATTAAAAGGGATGATTGTAGTACAGTGTCGCGTTTTGGAATAATTCCAAGTTAGGTTCGTATGTAGGCGGGCATTGCTTGGCCCACAATTGGTAAATTGACCAATGAATTTCATTCAATACAGATACAGATCGAGCTACCGACCATAATGTTTAAGGCAAACTCATAAACTAATACGGAACTGTAGCTTTTTTTGAATACTATAACTATTTTATGCCGCATTGTGTTGATAAGAAGTCATTTCTATACTCCGATTCTTGTAGTACAAGGCATCTAGCCTATTGTATTATTTTATTTATTTTCCACTATTTAACTGTTCAACGACAAACATACACATACGAGTATATAAACCTTCCACTTCAATCACTCTATAATAAAAACCGCATCAAAATCCGTTGCGTAGATTTAAAGATTTAAGCATACATAGGAACGTAGGGACAGCGAAAGCGACTTTGTTTTATTCTATGTAGTGATTAATGCTGGCTTTAGAAAAATATAGAATAACCGTATTAAATATTGCATTGCATATTGCACCAGCCTTCGAATTGTAACCTTTCTCTTAGAAATTCATTTCGGTCAATTATGACACCATATGGCCGGCAACCTGACAATGTTACCCTTTTTGGTAATCCTCGAGAAACTTTTCACCGAAACGAGTTCTTTCAGCTTTATTACATTGACCTTGTGTATGAATTAATTCATAACCTGTCTAAAAGATTAATGTACGTACATTGTGTAGTCTCAAACGTGATAAATAATTAAATGGGTGACATTTAATTTCATTAAGTAACTCTTTATTTCATTGCGAATAAATTATATTAGTACTGACACACATACAATAATAGGTTTTAGAGTCTATACATATTTGAGGGGGGACCTACGTGTATAGTTTATTTTTCTTTTTTATGGAATAGGAGGCAAACGAGCAGATGGTTCACCTGATGGCAAGTGATCTGCATCACCCTTGGACATCCACAACAACAGAATCAAAGGAAGAAATACATTATATTAATGTCTCGTGATGTGTCGTGTAGAGACAAACTTGAGTGGCGAGTTGTGTAGCGTGCTGTCAAATGTATGAAACCGGGGCATTCTGATACCACACAACATAAGTATGTCTCCAACCTAAGATACTGACAATGTTTTAGTTTATATCTCAAAAGTTAGTACCTACGCGAAAGATAGTTAGACAGATTGTACTTTGTTGTTTAGTGAAAAAAGACGCTTTTAAATAAATTTTTTGCACGGAATGGTGCTTCTGTTACTTTGTACTTTTTACAGTCTGCCAAGTTGAGATTATAGTGAGGGTGATGTAATGTTTTAGACAACAGATACTTGAGCTGTTTACTACTAACACAAGAGAAATGCTATTCATAACACTTTCTTCCTACCTTTATTAACAAAGATCTGTATAATTGTTCCGCTAAGCTTGACTGGCCAAGCGTTGATTGTTGTAAGCAGTTCTCGAGCTCATGATTTCTCCGATACTTTTAAGATTATGTGCAATTTATCTTTTAATCAGTTTATGTTAGACTTCGTAGTGTAGTTAACACAAAATTGGCTTCAGGGAAGGCAAGGAAAATGTAACGACGATGGGTTCTGTTTCATTTTCTTCCTATGTATCGGATCTACAGTCGAACATAAAATTACTTTGACAAAATAATCGGACTATCAAAACAAAACACTATCAGTCAGCTTACCTATTTTGGGGCATAAAGCGTGATGTATTCATTGTGTTTATTTATGAAACGATGCTGGTACGTATGGGGAAAAGTTAACACCAACAATACAGTTACAATGTTATCTAAGTAAACTGTATGGCTATCGCTAATAGTGTTTGTATAACATCGATAATTTTACTTTTCCATAAATTTTATAACGCACCATTTTTTCTATATGACTCAATTATTTGGACAATTTATCTGTCTATACCATATCCATATTATGACATCATGTCACCAAGGAATACCTAACACAAAACGCAAAGAAATAGAAAGAGGTTTATATTTATTGTGATAAGGTTGTTTTTTCAATGGCGTATATCTACCTGTCCTATGTCCATTATGAGTATAACTATATTATAAAAATATGAATAAATGGAGTTGTTATCAGAATGTCTTTGACCTTGAAAGACCAGTGGTCGATATCGTCTGGCATGAGGTAGGTTCATTTATTATTCAACAGGAAGGTTTTGTGGCATTTGTGGAATATTTATGGTATGTTATTACTAGGAGGATAACGTAATAGATTTAACATGTGACATTACCTAGTGGTTAGAAAGATAAAACTTGCGTGTAAGCAGAAATTGTTTTAATTGGATTTTTCATGTAGTTTAATGTAGGTAATAACAGGTTTATCCGTTGTAAAGCTTAAAGATATCAAAAAGAAACACCACGGACAATATTACGATCTTTTTTTAGGAAAAAAACATTGAGTAAATTACGATTCTGGACCTAGGTGGGGCGAGACGGAGTTGACAGACTCTTACTGCCTAAAAACTATCACGTTCCTTTCCAGCTCTAAGCCCTAGCCCAATATCCAAAATCCTTATCCCTTAAAGGACGGCAACGCACTCGTAACTCCTTTGGTGTTGCGGGTGTCCATGGGCAGGGTGGATTGCTTACCATCAGGCAATCTGTCAGCTCGTTTGCCGACCATACAAAACATACCATGAAAAAACAGCTAACACAAAATCATGAATCCCTTACCTGTATCCATAGGCCCATTCCAGCTTCAATTTGCTTTGTGGCGGTGGAGCGACCTTTGCGGGGTCCAGGCCTTCATGCTCGCTAGGCCCATACAGCACCACAGGCCGGCCTCGCAGGTACATGCGCATCGTACCATCTTCCTCATTGTACTGACATGTGTGGGTGCTGCAAAGACATTAATGGTGATTTGAGGAAACTCATAGCGAAGGCTCTAGGGAATTTGTCTCCTGCTTCCAGCTAGTAATCGGATTGGAGCTGAAGAGGACCAAATCTCGTTTATAGAACCTTCTAATCAAAGAATAGAGATAAGAAATATAGGTTTGGGTTGGGGATGTGGATCGCCTTTTTGGGTGAGACCTGTAGCACAATAAAGATACGTTGCCTTTGACTTGGACTTTGAGCATTTACTTTTTTGCTTCGTGTTTAATCTGGATTAATGAGTGGAAAGCTTTAAGTACTAAAATATGGTGAGAAGTGGTAACCATCTTTCACATTGTAATGGTTTGTGGGGTAGAGGCAAACTAGTTGCCCTTGGACAGCTATAAGCTTCCGGCTCTTGAGAAGGGTGAGAGATAGACCGTGCACTCCAAGGAGATACAATAGGTAAAATTTTAGTTTATCCCCTTCATAAAAACTTAGGAGGTACCTCTGTAAAAGGTTTTAGTCTTTATTTTGAAGTTTAGACATTGCTAAGAGATAATGCAACGAATGCAACGATAGCCTCTAATTTTAGATGACAAAATAAGCCATTTTGTAAGAGTAAAGAAAGATAAGAATATTTTCAGATAAAATCGAGAAGTGGTGCAAATTTATTTCGATACGAAATATTCCATAAATGGGAAAATACGATGTGTAACTGCATTTTGATTCATTGTACTTATGTAAATTAAACATCATGTATAATGGGCTCATGGCTATTTACTCATGTCTGTCGCTTGCTTTCGAGAAATACAAATGTTGTTACAAGGAAAATACAATAAATAAACAATTTCTATGAACAAAAGGTTATTTCCTAAAACTAAGAACGTAAACAAATAGTTATTGGTTAGTTAAAAGCGGTAATTAATCCCTTATTAGACTTTAGTAGGTTATTGTGAGATCTATGTGTGAATATTGTGTTAGTAAATAATTAGAGAAAGCACATAAAGTAGCTCTATACATGTAATTACAAGTCTTTAGTTACTCATGATCAAGTCCTATGTTTTTCTACTGGTAAGACGGCTTGCTGGAAAAACAGTGCTTACCTTAATTAGAAAAGTAATGTAACAACAGTTTTTAATTAAGCTTAGAAGGTAATGAATTACCTACGCAAATTAATTGGGTACTGTTTACCCATTATTATTAGATTATTGAGGTCACAACTTTACATAAATATTAAAGGCACTTTACCTGATTAGGTACATGTTGTGCCTATGTAATACGTGCGTAAATGTAGTACTTAGATATTTAATTACCATATCAAAGGATAAGAGAATAGAGAAAAAATCCGATGCACAGTCTAAAATTTTTAGGCTGTGGTGCCTTGCAATATGTTACTTAGTTTATGGATCATTATTCTTAAATTAAATCCAGAGTCGATAAAGGAATACATGGAAATGTGTAAAGAAAAAAAAACACCAAAATCCATACACTGATGATGATCATGAGAAAATCAGCACCAAACGTTTATTAGATTAGTTTTAGCAAGCATTATTTTAGTAAAGAACAAGTCACCGCAACCGCAAACACAAAAGCCTGATTTCGCAAAAAATCCCAAGCGAACTTACATCGAGGTGAATGACATTGTTATTTCCAAGATGCGTTTAGCATCGGCCCACTATTTACAAAAATATAGGTACTTAGCCACCCGCGCAGAAAGCTAGTGTCCCACTACACGACACTAAATAATCTAAAATAAAACACACGTGTTACGCTTTTATACACAAAATATAATGATCATTAACGCTAACTGATAACATCAGTGAATGTGCCTACATATCGTACAGCTCAACTATATACAAACAAATTAAATAAATTGTTCAAGTAATCCATTTATGTAAGCCACCGGCGAACTAGGTAATGTTTGTAATGACTACTAATGACAAATCAATTTATTTTAATTCATATTCATGATTAAAACGGAAAGAAAATGTGCCGGTCTTGTTAAAGATAATATCAAGTCAGTTATAACAGTAAATATAAACAGAAGAAAAACGTTATAGTGTTCTTTACCCTTCTTCCATGGCGCCAAAAATAACTGTCAGTAAAATACTTTTTTTTATATCAAACAAGTCAAAGGATATCGAGTATACAGCCGCAAACTTTTTAAAAACCGGTATGCGAGTCACGGTCGCGTTTCATACAGCCGGCCGCCGAGAATATCTTAGCCAGACTGCGTGCGGTAAAGAATGAGCTAACCATGAAGTTAGTTTCAAGTTTACTACTTGGATCGCAGGAGTTGTTCCATTTCCATTGCAGAGTTTTATAAACAGTTGATTTTTGCTTTAATAGAATTCACAGCAGTGTAATTGAAGCAATGGACATTTGCCTAATTGATTAAAGTATTATTGTACCAGTTTGGCGAATACTTCTATAGCTGTAGTGAGTCATCGTCATGATTGAACAATGTCAGCGATGACGTTTAGTTGGGTTTAAGGATATTATCGTTTTACAGGTGATGTTGTTGACTAGATAATGGACACAATTGCACAATGTTCCTGTAGCTGTGTCGAGATCAAGGTCAAGCATACATTAGGTAAATTGGACGTCATCTGTTTTAAATTAATTCACTAACAAGGTTCAAATTTTTAAAGAAGAGGGTATAAGATCATTCTAGAATGGAATAAATGCAAATATGAAGAGAAATCAATTTGATCACTAATATCCTCAAAAGTAGTTGGCAGGTCAACACTTGCCTGTTTCATGAACCTAATTATAACTAAATATGTGCTAATAATAAAAAAGTAAAAAAAATACTGGCAATCATTTAGCAAGTGTATAAATTATTGCTTTTTTATCTTTAAGTAGGTACTTATTTTTATATTTTTGTTCTAAATTTTGCAGAAAAATAAGTATTACTACGGATATGTTTACAACGAAACAACAATAATTGTTTCATCCACAGACAGAGAATCCATGACTAATTCAGTTTAGTAACAGATTTAGCTTGTGTCCAAAAACGATTAACATTTTAAAGATGAATATAATAAAATGCTCATCAATTTCCCAGTAGCTGGCAGCTTCCTGTGACAAAATGATGTATTTGAGCCACCCACGCGACCATCCAAGTGCTTCTAATATTGTATACTTAAATTCTATTCAATACATTCCTCTACATAAACAACTAGTGATTGCAGTACTTCAAGCGTTTAGGCCGAATGTCATTCGGCTAAGTTTTGTAAGCCTAATTTACGGATACATGTTGTGAATCGTTTTAATTTTTAATTGATTTCTGCATGAAAACAAAGAAACGTTATTATTGGTTATGCGCTCGCCGCCACTTCGTTTGTCGCGCATCATTGCCTTATAAATATGGTCTCTAGCTTAGCTTGAAGCTGACAGAATTACCTCGTCAAACAGTGAGTAGGTAACATAAGTACCTAATTTAATATGCCTCATAACATTATAATACAAAATTGCCTTTGACTGAACCTAGCTAGGCAACTAGCTGGTTGCCGCACAACATGTAGCGATTTGATTCCCGCCAGGAACAACTCTGTGTGACCAAAAAAATCCTAGTGTAGAGAAAAGTTTTCTAAAAAGTGTAACATATAGTTATAGAAAAATAATCACGATGACCTTATCTATACTAATATTATAAAGAGGTAAAATTTGTAAGTTTGTATGTTTGTAAATTTGTATGTAGGGGGTAATCTTTGGAACCGCTGGTCGGATTTCCAAAATTCTTTCACTGATAGATAACTACAATGTTCCTGAGTGCTATAGGCTATAACTAAAACATCACGCTTCGATTAAATGGAGCCGAGCAGCGGGTGAAACCGAGAGAGACCGCGAGAGTAGCTAGTACCGAATAAAAGATCACAATACGAACTTTTTTTTCTTTAATGCGATTTTTAACGGTTTTTGATATTGCTATTTTTTTTCTATCCCTTTTGATACGGTAAAACTGTCCCAGCTATTATCTAAACTAGGGTGACTTCGTCTAAAAGCCAAATTTGACTCTAAAGCTGATAGTTATCCCATCACTAAGGTAACAATGTGATGGACGTCCATTACTGAGCAATCAGATGCGCTAGCGTGGGCAATGTTACACAATACACAAGTTTTTGTCCTCCACCGACCATACAAATTACCATGCAAGGTATTTCTATGCTAATATCAAGAATTTTGCGATCATACTAATAAGAAATACATACGTAAAAATGTTTTTAGCAGTCGACTCGATGAGTCAAAAGTTTGGGCGTAAAGAAATTGTGTTTAGTGATCTGTTGTTCTATAACAATAGGATTAAAAATATATCTGGCAAGAATTTGTAACATATGTGCAACGCCATCTCGCCAGATGGCGTTGCATTTTGACACATGATTTATTGAAAATAACGACATAGTAACTAGAAAGCTCTACTAGTTACAAGTCAGAAATGGACTCTTATTTGTCATGAGTAGTGAACGCGTCCAGCGGACAGCTTTTCGCAGTCGACTTACTTGAAACTAAAGAGATAGATATTTTCTTAGTTATTTTCAATGAATGTAATATCTCATGAAACTATCGTGACTTTACAAAAATTTGTAAAACTGATTTTGTAAATCATTCATCTGAGTGTTATGTGGATGTAGAAAATAATTTTGTTCAATAGGGAAATTATTTTAACAAGACAGTTCCAACTATATTATAAGAAATCTATCAAATTTAAACACTAGACGTCACATAACACATCTATTCACATACCTATTTATAGGTACATAGATAAGATAGATGACATATGTGTAGGTATCGTCACAGAACAATAGATCTCAAGGTCGTCTATTATTTATTTATCTCCAGTACAGAAGCATTTGTTACGTCAACTCTAAATAACCTGTAATTGCTAGTTTTTACACGAGACCCCATGCACTAATGATTTCAGATTACCTTAAATAAGTATTTCATTGTACGTACAATGGGATTTGTTTAACAAAATGTTTTAAGTTTTCTTTCGACGTAGACAGATGTTGGGTTCTTCAGTTCTCTCGTCATTTGTCATTAAGACAAAGAAATTAAGGAAAATACAATAGGAAATTAGCTACTTCAGACACGTAATTTTAAATGTTTTAGGACGTTTGCTTAAATAAATTATACGCATTATAGTTCTATCCTTGTCGCACATTAATCATTTGCCAAGACAATGTTAATAATGCCGCAGTAGAAAACACCGCTTACTGGCTTTTCCAACTAGCCGTACTATGGCACACTCCAAGTCCTCTATTCATAGTAGGTATTGTAGCTGCTGTTAACGCTCTCCTAAACGCAAGAATAGGTCTTGATGTGTTTTATTTTGTGGAGTAGGAGACAAAAGAACCTAAGACGGATCACCTAATGACAATTGTTCAGCGCCACCCATGGACACCCGCAACAACAGAGGGGTCACAGGCGAAACTTTTATGCACGTTTCTTCGTTCGTGTTTGCCGATTTTGTATTTCCATTCGTAATTGGCCGACGATAATGACAGAATGTTAGATATTTTTACAGAAGATGCATGAATGTGTTGGTAAATTACTGTATTCATATAATTATGTTTAAATAGTTTTTGGCTAATAAATAAGTAACAAAACATATTGGTTTATTCTTAAATTATGTCTACCATTTTTCAAGTTAGTCGAGTTCCACCACCTTATCTACAAAATCTTATATATAACTCCAAATGCATCCCAGTTAGTCCCAATGGTGTTAAAAGCCCGTCACCATCCAACGTGAACGATCAACTAACTTACCCATGTTTCAGAATCGGTCCATTTTGTGACGGCTTAGAATATAGGTTTAGCAACGATTTTGTTGTAGTGAATCTAGAGAGAGCACAAAAAACAATTAGACATTACAGGAAAGTAAGGAATGAGGGTTATCGTGACAGAAAATTTTGCGACGCTAGAGACAGCTAAGGTCCTTTTTCAAGCAATTTTTTATTGAGCATAAAGTTCCTTACGCCATTCGCGATACTATCGCCATCTATTGAGCGTAAACGATAACCCTCATTGTGATAGCAAGAGTTTGACATATTGCATTGATGTTGGCGCTAGTGTAGATTTGGAGGAAGTAGACTAATGTGTGCAGAATAAAGATCGAATGAAATATTTTAAGCGTTTCCATTTTCAAGCCTCGAAGTAAGCGGTTGTGTTTATACAGCTGAAGATTTTAGGCCTCCTAGTATTCAACAAACTAGATATTATTTAAATAATTTATTTTGGTTGCTTGATTTCCAGGTATAGGATGAATGTTCATCAAAAAAAACCTACATTATGCAATTAAAGTTTGCATGTGATTAAACTCCAATATATGTATAGCTAATACAATTTTTGGGCCTTGGCCTGCTTGGCATGGTCACCTAGCCTGGTCGAAGAATCATCCCTTTTTATAACTTAGGTTATGTAACCTGTTCTATATAAGAACAAGTCTTATTCAGACATAATCCTGTCTTGATATTTTGCCCGGATCAGTTACTAATCAATCCAGACGAAGTTGAGAATTCCATTTTAAAATTTTGAAACGCTTTTCTGTGGCTATAGTTGTACTTCCTAATTATTCTATCTGGAACACAGCACCAATTACTTCGAGGCGACTTAGTGATGTACACGTACCTGGTGCTGGGCAGCAGACCCTGGGCGTTGAAGTCTCCGGTGGAGTTCCAGCGCTTGGTGAGGTTGTTGACCCCGGGCGAGGCGCTCTGGTTGCTGGACGTAGAGTTGTTTCGTGATCTAGATGCCAACGATATCACTACCATACTAGCATACTATACATACTATGCTCGCTAGGCTACTTACTATGATAATAGCCAGGGAAGCAGGCGGCTAGTCGAGGTAAGGTAAGATTATGGCTAAGCACATATAGTTGTTGGCTCTTTAAATATTTCGCTACTAAGTATAGCTTCTACTAATTTAAACATATTTTAAATGATATTTGTGTGGAATGACTACTCATTTCTCAGTGAAAGGTTTAAGGCTCTGTTTAGGTAAATAGTGCTTGATATTTTTATGTCTAATAATTTCTAATAACCCCCTTATTACAAAACAAAGTTTATCTTTAGTCCAGGTTTAAACCATTGAGTCGGGTTTTAATTTTTGAATCTTATTGTCATCTACTTTCAATTCGAAATACGAAAACTGGCTCAATGGTTTAGTCCTAGACTAAAGTAAAACCTTGTTTTGTAATAATGCCGTAAGAGTTAATTCTTTATTCTAAACTTACTTTCTAAATTGATAGTACTACACCATTGTTGTTTTATTTTTTAAAGTAAAGTTTTACTCTCTAAAGTAAATTTTCTTACGTTTGATTCAAGCGTTTGAACAGTTTTTAAGTTTAAGTATAAACATATTTCACATATTATTATGATATCATGTATGTAAAATAAAGCATTCATTACTTTGGGAACAGACAGCATATCAAACCATTTTCTTTAATACATTTTCGACTTTATTACCTAACAATAAAGTACCTAGTTGATTGAATTATTGATTTTATGCTATAGAGTGTATACCTGTAGGGCTGTAAGGGCGCATGGTGTGGTGCTGGAGTGGCGCGGGGCGAGGGTGACGGGGCTGGTGACAGCGATGAGGAAGATGCTGGCGAGTCCGACTGCAGTGACCCTGTTGACTGGTGCTGGGGACCGCGTCTGAGGAGCAGATCTTCATATTAGATTCTAAAGTCTACAGTTCTTATAATAAATTGAGATTATGAAAATATTCAATTGCTTGTTAGAAATAAAGAGAGGAGAAAGAAAATAAATTATTTGGAATATGCCGCACATGATTAGGAAAAAAAAACAAAAATACAACAATAAAAAGTACTTAACACAAATAAAAAAGAACCCAAACCACACAAAACTAACATAATCAGATAGCAGCACGCCCATGCCAAGAGGGTTGCCGTTTTAGTATAAGTTAACTAGTTGGTTAATTATATTATATTGTGTACTTATTGTAAAATAGGTAACTAATTGGAAATATTAAGTGTGAATAGTAGTAGGTAGTTTTTCAGCGGAGGTAATCTGCCATGATTTGATAGAACTGATAAAATGTGGAGATGTATGTGATGTCAACAATTTTTGCCATCTCTTCGAGGCACAGCGTTAGTACCGAATACCATAATTTTGTGTCATACAACCACGGTACAATTAAGATTATTAGGAGAAATTCATCCTACCACTTATCATTTCCTGAGTGGAGCGAGAGAGAATGTTAGACACGGACTAAAACCAAATTCCTTCTCATGATTGGCCGTACACTATTGCCCTTACACGCTTGCAATTGGCTAAGACTTTTAGTTTCGTATACCTTGTACAATGAGTAAGCCCATTAAGTTGGTACAGTTAGCCGAATATTGTTATTTTTGTTCCAGATTTAAGTGTGGCCACAGTATGTGTGAATTTATGTTCTCTAAAAAAAAATACCTTCTTTAAATGAATAGCGTATTTATTACCTTTGTGGTAGTGAGGATATATTGGAGCCGTAGCTGGAGGTCCTCTTGGCAGTTTCCCGGTAGGACGGCTGCTTCAGTCGTAGCTCTCTCGTCGGGGTACCCGTAGAACCTGGAAGAAAAGAGGATTAAGAGGTTAGTAGGAAGTCAAAGTATGTATTTCTTTTTACAATGATAGTTCTAATTTTGTTCTAGTGTTTCTACAAATCTAGAATTCTTGTAACAAAAAACTTATATTCTGTTTCATATTGCGACACTGTTACAATACGGAATCGATGTCGAGTCGAAATGTTACTATCGATTGCCAACAAACAATCACCAATTAATCGGACATTAATTCAATTTCTTAATTCGACGTAATATCAAAAAAATATGATTAGGTAAGTAATTTCAATAAAAAATATATATTATCAGTTATACAAAAAAAATCGCCAACAAATCAGCCTACAGCATTAAGGTACGTGTATAATCTACATAGTACCTCTACAGATTATACAGTAATAAGAACATGCAAATCTTGATTGATTTTGAATTCATGTGTGTGACAAAAAGCCGGCGTGATATCACGGTCGAATTGTGTTTTTCCGTGTAAGTGAATTTAATAGAGGCTTTTCTTTAGTATCGCTACCTCCTAAAACAGCAAGCAACGCACTCGTTACTCCACTGGTGTTGCAGGTGTCCGTGCCTCCACGTGACGCATCAATACGGTAGTTTACAAATAGTCAATTTCAATATATTTATCCAAATGTTAAAAACGATTCTTTTCTATGAAATTTGTATGAAACACTAAGCTATGACGTCATAGTACTTATTTTTGCGTCAAATAGTTTACATATTTCTTAAAAATTAGCTAAAAATATCGTAAACTTAGTATAGGTATCGATCGATCGATGAATAAAAATGTGTATAATTATTTTTAAAATATTTTATTGTATTGAAACGTCTAATTAATTTATTTTTGACCTAGGAAACTACCCAATTGCTTACCACCAGGTAATCCAGTTTCTCTTTGCCGCTCCATCATATAAAAAAGGTATTCCACAACAAAAAGGTTTCCATGACTAATTATCGCAGAGAAAGAGCACAGGCCCCTAATTGACTTACAAAGCGCATGTGGAAATTAATGAATAACTTTAATTAAGGAAATTAACATGATTTCCCATAATTATAATGTAGTGGTTCGCTATAATAAGATACTCAATTAGATGGATAGCTTCCGTGGGATAGTGAATCAAATAGCTTGTACTAAAATGATTAGTCGATGAACCAGAAAGACCTGCTTATAATAAGGTGAAGGTAATTTAAAGAAATATATAGTTTTAGTAAATAAATAATGTGAGATTGATTGAGTTTCGGCGTTTCTTGATTCGAGAATTGCTAAATAGCATTCGATTGTTTTTTCGACGGTTTTCAGGTACATGTTTTGCAAAATTTCTTTAGATGTTGATATTGTTTAAAATACGAATAGATAGATATAGTTTTTTTATGTCATAGAAGGCAAAGGAGCAGACACGGCTCATATAATAGTATAGCGCCGTCCTAGGACATTTATTTTTTAATTTTAACAAAGATATTGTGAAAGGCTAAGCCCTTACGACATTATATTTATTAGGAAGACTGACTTAACTACGTAAGTGTTCGAGGATACTAGATTTGTTTCAGGCCAGGCATGAGGCCCATAAAAATAATCCAATCCAAAGATATTATGATTTTTCTTTATTTCGACTATTAATAAGGTAATACACACTAATAAATAAGGGAGGGACAACTATAATGTATAAATAAATTCACGTGTGCGCCATTTTAACATTATGCTTCGTTTAATAACATAATCGGTACACGTCAACCGAATGATATATGAAAGGCTAGGTAAATGTACCAGTGCAGTGCCCAGGTCATGTAACTATTAATTTAGTACATTCAATATAAAAAACTATAGTCAATAGTGAAAGGATAATGTTTCGCAAATATTGAATTAATCGGCCTCTGTTGTAATACTGAATTATATACGAAGCTTTTTCAATAGGTATTTTATATACTAGCTACTCCCGCGCGGTTTCACCCGCTGTTCTGCTCCCTCAGATCGTAGCATGATGTTTTATTTATAGCCTATAGCCTTCCCCGATAAATGGACTAACAAACACAAAAATAATTATTAAATTCGAAGCAGTAATTCCGGAGATTAGTGCGTTCAAACAAATAAACTCTACCTACAGCTTTATTATATTTTGTATTTGTATATGTATAGATTTTATTTGCTAGGATTTTTGTTTTCACAAGCACTGAAGTGGTTGTTTGATGTATGATCAGGATAGAAAATAAGAAGGAATAATCGACTTAAAAGCGTTCTGATTTGACGGATAAGCCTTGAATGCTGTTTCGGAGTCGGATGCCAACTTATCGATTCCGTGCTAGGTATTTATTATTTACTGAAGACAGGCATTATAAAATATATATCTAAATTCTAGCTTCTATCCATTTAATTTAAATTTTAAATTTTTGCCAGTAAAAAATCTTTAAACACAGATCTTGTGTAAAACTAAAATTATAAGTAAGTATTCACCAGAATAAGCACCATTTCTCTGTCCCGCGCTGGGTGCGGTGGGAGCTCGACCTTCGAGAGCGTTGAGCCTCCTCAGAGCATCAGCGAGGGTTGACCGGAGACAGAGCAGCTCCTCGGCTTGACGAGCGCACCGCACCTCCAGCTCAGCAACCCTGGCTGCTAGCCCCGCACCCTCACCTTCTAGCATTTCATCTGAAATTGAAAACATGATACCTTTTAGATACGCCATGCGAAATAACCAGTGTATAGGGCTAGGACTCTCTATTTCTGTCTATTAAAGTCAAAATTGTGTAGTACTTTTAATATTAAGCATGTACCTAAGTTGTACTCATTCCTACATAAAATATTTTTATGTACAGAAACCACCCTTACTAAACTACCTCACCTTTATAGAATTAACAGTTTATGACGAAACATATTCGAATTACACATTTAAACTTTACCCCCTGATGGGAATTGGACAGAAATGCAGTTCCATTCAGCAGGTTTAGAGTTTTTTGCAACATATAAAACAAAAAACTGGAGAAAGGGGTACATTTATTTCAGTCTATGACGAAACACGGATGTAGTTTAGGATTTGAATAAAGCAGTTGCATGACAGAAAGTGTTTAGGACTATAAATATTCTGCAATAAACATTACTTCCATGAATCAAATCGAATAAATTAATTAAGTTTCAAAATAACTTATGTTGCAACTCTTAATTCTTTATACATCGATGGCAAATTCATTACGACTTTATTATATGTAATAGACATTCGCACACCGTCTCACATCAACAAATTCGTGAATATGATGAGTTTCTCAACATTGATTGCAGTAACACCAATACTAATTATATTTGTTAGCAATTACTTACGTCAATAGGAAGTATTGAATAATATTTCTAAAGAAACGATAGACTAATCTTATGAATTGAAAGGAAATTTCTAGTAAAAGGTGACAGATTTAACTTGTTAGAGGATAAGGAAATTGAAGGTAACAAGGTGACCGATAAACATAAAGATGGCCGCGAAATCTTACGCAAGTCAAAAAGATGATAAGTGTTGATGACTTTATCATTATTCTCTTGATTGTTTGGCAACGCTGACCAATCGCCACATTATGTAGCAATAGCGTCGGCGACAACAGAATTGGTTTGCAAATTCAGCTCCTTAGTTGACACACAATTGTGTCCCGAACAATAGTCTAAACGAGTGTGCTAAAAAATGCACACTGCAAAGCAATATGGACTTTATGTTGTATGTGTAAAAGTTAATTGGAGTAGAGTTAATAATGTCGTATGTTATTGTGTAGCACGTCACGGTAGAGAGCTATCAGTAGTCGTTGGCAAGGACTTGTTTTGTTTATTTATAGCCGTTTTTAACTTGTTCGATTGTATTTGCACATGTTTGTTACATAATGAATTATAAACATGTGGGTCTAGGTCGATTCTAGGACATCTATCGAAGTTCATATGGCAATTATTTGTCGTCAGTTATTGTCTTACACTGAGAAGAACTCATAAGATGAATAGCAAACGATAAGTACAGAAAAAGAGCTGGCAAAAAATAACAATATACTTTCCCAAGATAGTTTCCCAGAAGTCACGTTAGAGTTAGACTAAGAACAGCATGAAATTCGTTATGATGAAAAACAAGAAATTAAAAAAGTGATTCATATATCGGTGCTAGCTAACTACAATGGTGCCAAAGATAAGAGTCTTGCACATGACGTTTTACTAACGTAAGCTGGACACCTATCAAACGCATAGTCCTCAATGATAAACCTTTACCGCTGTAAACGTGGCAATAAGATATCGAGAAGTTTAATAAAAAAAAATTGTGGATGAAGACGTTATGTGCAAGGACCCTTTGGTTCTTCTAAAGGAGACTCACGCCACGCAGCGTAGACATCGTTCATGGTGTCTCCAGGGGAGTCGCTCGCCCTGGAGCTCCTGGAGTCACGGTCCCCGTGGCTGTCCATCCTCAGTGGCACTTAGTGGACGATTTGGCACATATTAGCTACACTATTACGTAATCAGTTCATATTTCTTGGGGTTTTATAGAACTTCTGCACAGTAATTTAGTTGTCTGCATTTGTTTTGTTAACGATTAGCTGTTTTGGCGTTGTTATATATAATACAATACAAACTACGTGCAAAACGGCTTTTTGGCTGTTTGTTACGTATGGCTAAAAACGATTTTCTCATCATTAACACTTTCCTACCCCTTAAAACCTAAAGGTTTAGGCCCTTCATGAAAAGCATTCACTGGTTTTAAATATCTCAAAATGTAAATTAAAGTTTTTAATTCTATTTACGTCGCGTAATAACTGCAAAAATGTGTAAAACCACGGAATAGTAAAACAATGTACGAAGGTACAGTCGCATAGTAAAGTCACTTTCCCACATATTGAGGAATTCGTGTAACGGTGAATGTACAGGTGTGGCCGTTTGCATAAACATGTGCATTCTATTGGTAACTGTACCTCGGCTCATCTCGTCTTGGCCGCGTTGACCTTTTTGTTGACCTTGTTTATAAATATTCTTTAAAGTGACCCGAATAGAGGTCAAATTTGACTGATATTTTATTGAGAATCAGCTGTTGTGTTGTGAGTCAGGGTAGATAAATTTTGAGGGATAAGATTTAAATAACAGGTGATTTGATTTTATCAAATGAAAGGATCTTATAATAATTGTCTTTAAATATTATTTTCTATTGAGGATGTACCTAAATCAACAAAATTCAACATTCTTCAATTATCCTAACAATTGATGCAAATCTTATAAAGTTGGTTACAACTAATATACACCATACCCTAGTAGCCTTGTGTCACAATTGTCTTGTCTAATAATTTGGTAATGTTCCCTTTGGCCCATCTATGCTAATATTATAAAATGAAGAGTTTGTTTGTTTGAACGCGCTAATCTCAGGAACTACTGGTTCCAGTTGATAAATTCTTTCTTTGTTTAATAGACCATTTCTTGAGAAAGGCTTTAGGCTATAAAACATCTCCGATCTATAGCAGCCGAGCAGCGAGTGAAACCGCGCGAGAGTAGCTAGTTTAAAATAAATCGGCACCAGATTTTTTTTACAAAAATTGAATGTCACTTATAACATGAAAAGGGCAACGTACGGAGCTCAGTTTACGTAAGAGCAAGTCAGATCACGAAAGGAGGAAGCCATCGTTTATTGGACTACAATCACATGAATCAGGCGAGCGAGAATCGCACGCTACTATGAAGGAAGATGAACAGTTTTAAGACAAATTATATGACTTTCATGTGTAGTTTACTGTATTAGGACTATATTTTTGGCCGGTATAAATACTACATAATAAAAGGTAAAAATTTGGAACAAAAAAATGCCTTACATTACGATCTCTTCTATCGTGGGTGCGTTTACAAACATAAGTTCACATACACATTACGAAAAACAATTTGTAGATCTCACACAGACCTTTTTATTCTTTATTTATTAAGGACTTTTAAAAATGTCAGCTCATAAGGCCTAACCTTACGAAGAGTTGGTCCATGCGAGCAAAACCGCGTTGCGAGCATTCGATTACCGAGGCAATCGAAAAACGAGATCTAGACATCATGTAAGTATAATGTAGAGTATAGATGATAATATAATCTCATCATGGGCTAAATTGTAAATAGAAACCATATGGACCTACCATATGGTAGACCACAATACAGTCTATAGTCTTAACAATGGGTATGGAATTCCAGCTGCAACAATGGCAACGTTTATAATAGCAAGTTCCCCTCAATCAACACCAAACCACTAAGATATTCGCAAAACATTTTATTCCCACAACCTAGAAAGTTACGTGAGAAAGATCAGAAACAAAAAAAAAAACAATGTTACGACGGTTCATCAAGACTTTAATATGTAAAGAATAAGGTCGTTAGTCGACTAAAGATTTAAATTGCTCTATTAAAGATAAGTGGAGCGTTAGAATTAATACTGTATCATTTTCTAATGGCGTTTGAATTGTACAAACAATGGTCAGTTTACTGTGTAATGACTTTACTTACATTCCGATTACACGTTATCGAAAATAGAATACCATGGGAAATTAATACATTATGTATATCAATCAACAAGAAATAAGTAATCAAATTTCGATATCATTCTTCTGTTTATACTTAATTGTTTGTTTATTAGGTACAAAAAACCGTAACCCACGACACAGCCGCGCCCACCGTGCAGACAAATATTACAAGTTGTTACCAAACACTATAAAAATGATACGAGTTTCAACTGACAAACATGCTTCGATTAGCCTTAATACAAATCGCAGAGTTCTTTCCCACTCGCCTAAGGGTAAAATAAAATTAAATTAAAAATTTAAAAAAACCCCCGACTTTATAAAAACCAAATGTAATGAACGGAACGAGATATCCATAAACAATTATAATTCCTATGAAAATGGATGGATATGGATATCAAATGATATCAATATATCCATAAAGCGCCATTTTGTAGAGGCAGCTATGTTGGATTTTAAATTTTTCATACATAATAGTATTTCACTAGTCAAGCCCTTTCATTTGATACCCATATTGATCAAGTTGTAATAAAAAAATGTAAAGCACCATTTTGTAGAAGCAGCCATCTTGTATTTTAAATTTGTCATATCTAATAGTATTCTACTAGTCAAGCCCTTTCATTTGATACCCATATTGATGGAGTTTAAAAAAATATCTAATCTGTCATTTTGTGGCGGCGGCCATCTTGGAACAATTTTCATCAAACTTACGTAAAAACACTCTCGACATTTTCTACTGTCAAACAAAAAAAACTAAATCAAAATCGGTCCATCCGTTCGACGGCTAGAGTGGTACAGACAGACACACACACAGACACGTCAAACTTATAACACCCCGTCGTTTTTGCGTCGGGGGTTAAAAAGAGTTCTTATAATGGCATCGATTTATCCGCAAGGAATAAATAAAAAAATATTATTATAAACAATGACTAAAATAATAAGAATACAGACATCTTTTCTCACTATAAAACGGAGCTGGCTTTATCACCAACACCATAAACTATCAGACAGCAAACAGTTTCCTATCTAAAGCCCTTTATTTTATAATAAACCTTATAAAATATTGCTGCACTAAATAATAATGGCGTAGGAAGATGAAAATCGTTTTAGTAGCATCTTAAATGTACTCCATAGCTTTCTGTAGTCCCGTAATGA